GGACGACCCCCGCACCCCGTCCTGTCCCGTCGCGACCCCCGGCGCCTTCCCCTCAGCTCGGGTGGGGGTGATTTGCATGTGAAAGTGGCGGAGGTGCGAGGGCCGGGATTAGCGCGGGGATGACATAATAACGCGGGGAATTAAAACGGCGTCGGGCCGCGGGGATGGGGATGAGGATGAGGATGGAGATGGGGATGGGGATGGGGGGGGAGAGCGTGGGAGTGTGGTAGGTAGGGGGGGGGGAAATTCCTGATTTTTTTCCCCGCGCGGCTGATTGATGTCGGGGGCGAAGCGAACGCGTCTCCGCACCGCGGCGGCGGCGGTGATTGCGATGATTATACTTATCATTAGCGCCAAATGTAAATTGGGAAAGCGGTCAGCGCTGGGTACCGCGGGTGTGCCTGGGGATGGGGCTCTGGGCAAGACACACACACACACACACACTCACCACCCCCTCCCCAGCACAGGGAGAACTTTTTTTATGGTTAAAACAAAAAGGCAGCACCCAGGATTCAGAAAATTACTAATTTATGAAATACAGGGGGTTGAGTTACAAAGATTTTTACGCAGTCCCGTTTTTATTGCGAGTGTACGATGCAATAGGCGAAAAGATGGGAAAGACGTTTTTGTTATTAAAGGAAAATCTTTTATCGGAGGGATGTTTTAGAAATTTACAGTCAATGAAATTTAATTTTATCCTTTGCCTTTTGCTTTATCCACATTTTAATAAAACAGCCATAAAGAATAAAAGTACCGCGGTGATTGCTGAACAAAGCAGATCTCGGGTGGTTGGTCGTGGGTCTGAATAGGATTTAAAAATTGTGCCTGTGCTCTCTGATCCTCACTCGTGCTTTAGGCAGCACCCTCAGCGTGCGCACAAAGGGGCCGGCCGGGGGAGACGACGCAGATGACATTACATACAAATTAATGGCAAGATTAATATTTCATAGTCAGTAGACACAAACTTTCTGATAATCTTTTCCCTCCCCTGTGTTTGCTCACCTGGTAATTTGGGTGTACCTGGTAAAGTCTTAGGCTTATAGGCAGTTACTCTAGAGAGAGAGAACAATTGCCAGAGAAGTTTTGTGCTGGTGGTGACACCTCCCAGCACCCCGATGTGGAAGTGACCACTTGGGAGTCTGCAGAACATCACTAACATTAATTCATTGGGGAAAAAAAATAAAATATTGCAAAGCAACTCTATTAGTTTTTCTTAGGTATTACCAGGGACTTTAAAAGGATACACTAATGGGATAACTGTGTTCACTAGATTAATAAATAAATAGAAAATTCCTAAATCTTGCGAGGGGTGGGGCTGGAGGAAGCGGATGAAAGTGACTCGCGTTAACTGAATAAAAATCCTGCGCTGAAATTGCCTGATTGATCATACTGTAGAGCACTAAGAGACAACAAGGCAACTGAAAGGAGAGGAGGGAAATGGCAAGAGCATCAAGGGAAGTGCCGTGTAACCCTATTACGGCCACACGCAGGATTAGCCCCGTGTGCCCCGCTTTCCCAAACAATGCCCGGTGTCACCACCTCCCTCATTCCCTCTGCCACCCAGACTCCACGCTTGCCTCCAGTTCCTGGAAATCCCAATGGGTAAATGTTGGGTTTTCATCTGGTGATTTGTGTTCTGGAGGTTTCCCTGTCCCTCGGTGCCCGCTGCAGGTAGAGGTGCCACGGGAGCAGCTCCTGGGCCCCGCTCGTGGACACGGCACCCAGAGCCACTGTGGCTTTATTCACATGAAAGGGAAAGCACCAGCACCGTCGTACCCCTTAGGACAAAGTGACAAGACGGTGGCATCTCGGCCACCGTTTGGGAGGTGGTGTGGGTGCGTCGGGGCCCGGACGTCACCCGTGAGCACCTGCTCGGGGTGCTCCTGCTGCACCTGCCGCACGGTGCCGGGCGGCTTTCCCGCGCCTCGCTCCTCTCTGCCGATAAAGAAGAAAGGCAGGGATGAGGATTGTTGCTATTGATCTGCCCAAGGGGATCATTAGGCATCAGTATCAATCTACAAATCAGTGGGCCTGTGTTACTTGCTTGGGCAGTCATTGCCAATTTGTTCCTATTAGATGGCCGAGCCCGGAGGTGTTTGATGAGCAGATTGGGTCTTTATCTCGGCGCTGGAGAGCAGGCAGGCTCGCGGGGAGACGCTGGAGCTTTACAGGATTTCTGCTGTTTGTTTGTTTTCTTCTGCTGAAATCCGGCTGCCTTTTTACTGCTCTGTAAAGAATTTTGTATGGGCTGAATATGTTTCTGCTTTATATATGGCTTTTCATATCACCGTATTAAACATATTGAGAGTTAAGGAGAAACTATTTTAAAATAATCCCCTCTCTTTTATTTGGTATGTTTACCAGCAGCACTCCCTATAAAAATACATATTCATGCCAGATTCTTTTGTTATCCTTTCCAGGTCAGACCGAACATTAGGAACGCAAACAATTTTTCTTTTGCTATCCCAGTGCCCGTTCCTAGGGATTTATGTGGTTGCTGGTGGTGAGGTGACCGTTCTTGCACTATTTCCCTCGGTGATTTAATTGAACAAGGCAAAAATTAAAGCTTGCAGACAATATTTTATTTGAAAGCATTATTTACATTTTTGTTCTGAAAGGGTAGTCCCAGCTTTTTGTGGACAGCCGTGGGATCGCAGTCCTGTTCTGAGGGGGGCTGTGCTGCACGTTTGAGAACAGTCTCTCTCATCTGCATATTTTCTTATTTTGTATGTTTTAATACTATGCAAAATGAATGAACAACAAAATTCTAATATAATAGGAGAATGTAAATTAATGGCAAAAGACGGATTAAAACAGTTCACACGAATGATCTGATCTGACATCAATGCCTTGTTATTTAATGCAAACCTTGATTTTCAACTGTTTCGTCTCACTCCTGACATGAGCATCGTGCAGTTTAAACATCTGTCCAGCCGTTAAAGACCTTATTGATGCCTGGTTATTGGATTTCTAATTTTCAGGTTTTGTCAGGGGGTTTAACAGACTATATGAGTGTTTATAATTTCTAATGAGTTTAATCTGTAATTTGTGCCTATTACCTGTGACTGTCAAATCACTTCCCCAGTACTTGGTCTGTAAAAATTCAAAATAAAGAAATGCAGGTTTCTGAATAACCTAAAATATTTGTCATATCTTTTATATACAAATATCTGTGCAGTAAACAGAACTATACATTCTTATTCTGTTTGAAGATCAAGACTGATTCTAATCCTGCATATCTGCTGCAATCACAATATATTACCTAAACCCAAGTTTCTTTGAGGACTTTTTGGATATATGTCATTATTTCAATGAAGATAAAATAGTGTATGTTTTGGGATACTGCAAGGCTGATTATTGCTGCCTGATTAGTATTTGATCACATTCTATCCTTTTTTTTTTTTTTTTTTTTTGTCCCTGAGACAATTCAGCTCCTCCACATCCAGAGGCGAATTCGCCTCATTCTGTCTGACAAGTGTTTTGTTGTGGAGCAGTCGATCATATCTGTGTAAACATACATCTGCTGGCGGATGGGCTTGGAAGCAGCACACTTTTAATTTATCATAAACTTCATATAACTCATTAGCTTTCATCTTTACATTGCATGTATAGAAATGAATTTGGAGTGTACTCAGAGAGGCTTTTTTTTTTTTTTTTTTTTCTGAGGAGTTTGCTGTACAAATATTTATGGACCTTTTCCTTTGTAGTACAGATTCCAGTGGAAATAGCTATCATGCGATTAACAGCAGATTGCGACTTAAGGAAGAGGTTGCCAAAAGCTATTGTTTATTTAGTCGCGTGGCATTTTGTATTGAAATTTGTTTTGCTACTATTTGTAAAAATAGACGACTCTCTTGGGAGGAGAAATCAGGATTTTTTCCTATACTCTGGGAAAAAAAAAAAAAGGGGGGAAAAAAGCCTCCCAGAAAATTAAATATAAGTATGTTTGTATGTATGAACATAACTTTATAATCACAGCATATTCTGACTATTTTCAGTGAAGGAGGGTTGTTGTTGCCCATTCAGAAAACACACATATGGAGATTTTATTGTGTTTTTTGTTTTAAAGATAATAATTTGTCTCCGAGTTCCAGTTGTTTATGTTTCTGTCTATATCTCTTTCCTCTCCCCTGTTTTATTTAGTAAGGTTTCATCTGTGAAATTTCTCCATGAAACAATTGATACATTCTCAGCACGCTGCGGCGAGGGAAAAAAAGCCCTTAGATTAATGGTCAGTGTCTCATACACACAAATTTGTGTTACGATACTACCGAGAAGCTGCGAATTACTGACAAGATCTAGAATAATTCCTAATGCTGTCGAAGGCTTCATTTTCTCCTCCGCATGATGGATGAGGCATAAGAAGTGCTTTCTGAGATCGTTAATGTGCATCATTCTGTTAAGTGTTATTAAAGTCCGTCTGTCTTAGGCAGCAGAAACAATATCTTATCCCTTATTTTGCCTCTCTCCTTGCTAAACTGTAACTGCAGCCCCTGTCTTTTACTAATGTGGCCTTTTGTTGGTGCTCTTCTTTTAATGGCTACTTTATACCACGGCATTTAGGTTGGTTTTAGGATTCTATTTTCCCTTTTAGTCAAAATACTGGCTTGTGGCATGGGAAGGAACACCTAATTTCAAGATTATGCTATCTGTAACCTGTAGATAATAACAAAGCCGCGGCGGATCCGTACCGAGCCTTATATTTAAGCTTAGAAAATAGGATTGAACTTTTCTTGGGAGGCTGTGCCTGCGAGAAGGAGCCGGTCTGGCAGCGCAGCCCTTCCCGCTCCGGCAGAGCCGAGCAGGCTGCCCTCACCCCGGGAGAGCCCCGCGCCTCCTCCCGCCGAGCAGCTCCGGGGAGCGATGCTGGGGGTGTGAAATAACACCCGGGAGCTCACGCGTCCACTCGTCTTCCACAGCATTAATTGTTTCAAAATCTGGGAATTGCTGCCCGAGTAGAGAGTAAGCGTGATTTCTCGCTGGGAGGGAAGTTAGCGGAGGGACAGCGTTGCAGGCGACCCAAACTTGGTCTGTTTGGGCAGAAAAAGCTGCCCTGTGCCCTGGTCCCTTGGGCATCGCCCCGTTCCCCCGGGGCACTGCCTGCCCTGGGGAGGGGGTAGGCCAGGTACAGATCGCAGATGGATCATATTAAATCAAACATACTTTTAACCAAACAGAAGAATTCACTTTAAAGGTTTTTAACCTTTCTTAAGAGCCAATTTTTCCTTAAGCCCTGTGATAATAAAATACAATATAATTTATAGAGCGCTTTCCATGGGTATGCATTCCTCTCTCTTTTTCTTTTTTTTTTTTTTTTTTTTTTTTTTCCTTACAATAAAAAAATACCAACAGTCAGATAAAACATATCCAACAATTGGGATGATAATCAAGAAAAAACAAAAAGCAACTGATCATAAAGCCATTTAGAAATGTAACATTCCTTTTAAAAGAGATTCAGACATACTTGGAAAGCCTCACTTATATACTTTTAATAGAATTATGGAAGTGTGATGCACAGCTGGTAAAAGCTCAGTCATCCACAGCACAGCTAGTTTTTGAGTATTTAATTTTATATTTGAATAATTCTCCAGATCAGGCTATAATCATGAATGTCATATAAAAAGATTTTTTTCATAAATTACATTATTTCACAGATGTGCAAATACTTCTGTGAAAAAAATTACATTGATCAGTTTTTAATACCCCCCTGTCTCACCCTTCAGTCAAAAGAAAAAATAGCTTTTTTCCCATCTTTGTCTTCAGAAAGGTGCTAGATTGTAAACATCTGAAGGAAATGAAAGGGGGTTGGCCAGTCCACCCCAAATTCTTTCCAGATTTTCATTCCTTTCACCAGCAGCCTTCTGTTCTTAGAGGAGAGGGAGGAACAGCAGAAGAAAGAGGGAGAAGATGTCTCTGTTTCTTATTAAAATTTAAAGTGAAAAGCAGTGCTGTATTTTGCTAATTTTCAATCTGCTAATTCGGAAGGTGTTCGGGTGGGAGAAGCGGCGCCGTGGGGAAGCGGGGTTCGGCGGGGGTGGGGGGTTTTGGGTGAGAAACCCTGGCAGGGGATGGGGATCCAGCTGGGGGGGGAAGGCAGCGAGGGGCAGCCCCCCTCAGCAGGACTTTGCTTTCCTTTCGAAAGAAGCGCTCGCACTGATTTGCACTTTTCTTAAATCAGAAATTTACAAAATTGTGTTTATTTTTCTAATTGAACAAAAAGAACTCTTTTACCAAGATTAAACTTTGCAACAGGCCTGTGCCCTGCCCGGCCGGCGCTCGCGTTGCACCTCATTGCCCTGGCACCCTTCTGGGGTGCCCGAAAGCCAAGAGCTGGGAAACAGGTGCCTGGCACTGGAGCTGCCAGTTTGTTCAAACTCTTCAGCGCTTTGCTTTTTGTCTGGTCCAAACATTTAATTGCGGCATAGGTAATTAAGCAAAGCGTATTATTGCACGCAGAATATCCGATAATAATGTATATTGTTGTGAATGGAAAAGTTCGCCCTAACATTTAATTCAGGGATGACAATTAAGATAAATGTCTATTTCCAAGCTCTCTCATCCCATTGACTATTAAGTTACACTTTTAAGGGAAAGGAAGGCTAAAAATAACTTTATAAAAAGTAAAACAAGGTGTTACACCCTGACTGTTTGGTCTTAAATCATAGTTGCCTGCTTGTTTTTCAGGAAATTTAAGTACCAGATGCACTTGGAGAAAGCAATCTAAACATCAGAGTTTATTTTCAATATGCAAGTGGTATAAAAATATGCAAACCCTGATCACAGTGCTATGGAAACTACTCCACAAAAATGTGGAACGAAAGCTGTTACTGTAAGTGTGGTTCATGTATTGTAACAGCTGTGACAGCCCGGTGCAGCTCAACACTTGTTCAATTATAAGAAAATATTCAAAAGGAAACTTGATTTAAATAAGATTTGTAATAATCTCTCACATTTACAAAATAAAGCAGCGACAAACACTGTCCTCCCGCCCGGTTTGCCCAGATTCGGCGTTTGCCTTGGCTCAGGCGACAGACGCGTTTCTCCCCCCTCTCGCCAGATCCAAAAGCATTTTTCAGGGCTTGTGTTACAGTTATTTGCAGATTATTTTAGGTCTGTGTTCTTTTATATCCACTTAGCAACTTGCAAGGAATATTTCAGGAGCAGACCATACTTGACATGCATCCCTTTTTGGGGAGCAGGAGGAATGGGTGTGGTGGATTTAAAAGCGATTATGTATTTATGACAGATGGTTTTCAGTTTATGCAAGAAAGCCCATATAGACACTAGTGCAGAGACAACTGTTCTGGGAATTTGGACATGTA